GGAAGGGGTGGCTCCCGGGCCGGGTCTCCCGGCGCGTTTCGGGACAGGAGGCGCGGGGCGGGGACTGCGGGAGCCGAGCGAGGAGTGTTGGCAGACGCCTGGTCCCGGCCCGCTCGCTCTCTGTTACTCACTGACAGCGGCAGCATCCGAGTGCATTTTCGGGCAGCTCACACCCCGCTCGCCGCCCAGGCTCCCGCGCTCGCCTCGCGGTACCCCCACCGGCTCGCCGCACCTCGGCTGGGAGCAGAGGACTCGCCGCCAGGCACTCCCGGCCCGCCCACCTCGCCTCCTCCATTGGCTGGACCTTGGCTCAGGGACCGCCCCTACGCGTCTTTCATTTGACAAAAAGAGTGCAGAGAGCGCCGGCCTGGAGCTGGCAAAGAGGCCCCGCCCCCTAAGGTCCAATGCGATTGGTCTTGGCTCCTCGTCTCCGTAACGCCCCTGGCGGAGGCCACGCTCTGAGATAGCCTGTTGGGTCCGGGCGCTGTCACTCAGCCCCGGGGGTCCGAGAGCGCGTGTAGGGGCGAGGCTGGGGAATTGGTCCACCTTGACCCTGAAGCCCCGCCCTGTGGCGGGCGGGATTGGTGGAGCTGGAGACCAACCGAGAAAGATGGGTCGGTGTCTGAAACAAAGCACGCGAAGTGTTTCCCCAAGAACTGAGAAGAGGAAGAGCAGTTGGGGCAGCTAGTATCCCGCTACACGGAGTAGGGGAATCAGGTCTTCCCTCGCGCCTGGCGCGACGCATCGGGATCCCCTGCTTGTCTCGCACGGCTCCGAGCGGCTCTCTGCAGGAGCCCAGTCTGCGCCAAACCTGGACTGGGACTTCTCTTGCTGTTTCGTACAGCTAGAAACTGGGTACAGAATCGCCGTGTCTTCATTTCCAGCAAACCCTCCGGTGAGGAACAAATTCTTCCTTGTACAACAATCCATCCTCTCCCCGTTTAAGAAATGCATTTCTTTTCCAGAGTCAACACACTTCTTCCTTCTTCGTCACAAATGGTCTGTTCTAAAAGCTTCGAATGCTGCATTGTCAGTGATATACATATGTGCGCCCCTAGACCGCATGCAGGAAACCCAGAGCCACGCTCTGAGCTTCTGGCTCAGTCTAGCACGTCAGCAAGTCCAGGGGCTAGGTCACCAGCCCTCAAAGGACACTTAGCGTAAGCTAAATGAACCTAAGTCACTGAACGCTAAGAAGCGGTCCAGAAAACAAAACTGGCTATTATTTGGCAGAAGAAGGCGTTAATGTAGGTGAAGTCTTCTAACCATTGAGTTTCCCAAGTCAAGAATTCGTACCATTTTCTTGAGTTCTGACCAGTTCTTTTTTTAAGTCTTTCAAACCAAGTCATCACACTCACCATATTTTTGTAGTAGAATAAAATTTTGAGATATTAATGGAGGAGTGCCCTCTCCTATTCCTATCTCAACTACAACACACATACACCACTTCTCTGTATCCCCAAGCCCTGCCCCATCCCGCAGCCAGGGCATTCCACCGTCCTGCCTTAGAGAATGGATGACACCACAAACAACTGGTAACAACACAGTCGTTTTGGTTTTAGACTTATACAGTGAAAGGCTTTTGAGTTTCAGGGTTCTGAAATTTAGGTTTCAAATCAAGGCATAAATGTTACAGCCAAAAACAAAAAGTTTGAAAGAACAAGATGAAACCAGTTCCTCTGTCCCTCACCCCTCCCCTTGTAATATACTCCATCCCTCTTAATCCCTAATGTCTCATTGATAAGTTACATCCTTCTAATTTTATATCTATCATATATCCATTATTCAAACACTATGAATCACTTCATCTAATCATAGAATCTCAGACTTGAAACTGAATGTATCCACTTCAGGTTCAGTTCAGACAAGAATCTCATCATTGGTGACCTTTAACCTGACAGCATCAGCTGGGCCCTACAGGGAAGGGTAGGTACCTTTAGACTCTGAAATAGGCAATTCCTCTTTGGGCAGATTTAATTGGAAGAATGTCTGTCCTTAGTCTGAGCAGAAAAGCTGCTCCTGCATTATTTATTCCATTTATGTTTTCAGCCCATTCTACCTCTAGGGAATAATTATATATAGTTTATCTAAGTTCATAATATTTTGTATATGTAATATTTGTGTGGCTTGTTACTGCTTATCATGGTACTTCAAAGGCTGAGACACATGTTATTTTGCACAGGAACGGACTTGCTTCTTGACACCTCTAAATTAAAATAAAGTCATAGTTAATTTGCTTTCGGTAGTCATTTGCTATATATATATTGATTTATTTGTAGCACACTGTATAATAATGTATATAATGGTAATCTACATGAGAGACCTGCCAGCTCCTTTGCCCCAGCACCCAACACTCCACTGGCACATGGTGTCCATAAAAGTTTATAGAGTATACAACCTTTGTTATTTTCCAGCATCACTTTCAGTTGGGTCAGTATGATTATTTTCAAATAAAAAACAGATTTCAAGAGTAATTTGCACAGATCTTTGTAGTGAGTCACCTATAGCCTGAGGATTGAGAGGCAAAGGTCATAAGTCTGTTAAGCCGCCCTGCCTTATGGAAAATAAAGCAGGTATAATTAAGTGACTACATAGTATTCTGCACATATTACCCTGTTATTTTAATTATCCACAAGATTATAAACCTTTGAGTGTAGGAATCCTGTTATATTTATGTTTATGTCCCTAGTACCTAGTACAGTGCTTTCAAATAGTAGGCACTAGTTAACTCTTCCTTAAAGTGAACTGAATGTTGACTGTAAGGTGTCATTTTAGATCTGGAAGGAACCTTGGAGATTATCAAATCCAGCCTCCTCATTTTAAGAATATGAGACATGAGGTCAAAAGGGGTTAAATGTGAAGTCCAAGTCACCCAGCTAGTTAATAACAAAGCATTATTTAAACGCAAATTTCCCAACTCCTATACCAGGTCTTTTGCCCTGCACCACACTGTCCAATAGCAAAGCATCAAATTCCAAAGATGGGTAAACTACTACTGTCCCTTTCCAGCTGCAAGTTATGTCAATCTCCACATTCTAACTTCAGAGCTGGAATATTGCCGCCTTTTTTATGAAGTTCAGTAAGGAATTGTTTTCAATTTATAGTAAATTTCCATTTTTTCTCATTGGTAGCATTCCCAAATAATTTGATTCCTGTGGGGATGTTTACTGAGATAATACTGTTACACTTCAGTGCATTTATATTCAGATCCTTGGAGAAAACAGTTAATAATTGTCTTGGGGCTGTGGTGGGTAGAGCTATTTGGGAATGCAGTCTCTCTGCCATACTGCTTCACGCAGTTACTGCTTTAAGGTAATATTAAAGCAAGTTACTTTGTGTCAGCTGAAACCTAATTTAATTGGAATTTTTCTGTTTTATTTGTTGTACAATACTGATTTTAATCATATATTTTAAATACCTTAAGCCTAGATTAAAATTTGTTATGAAAAAGTCTAGTGAGAGAAAGAACAACAGTGCTCCTTAATAACATTTCCCCCAATTTCCACACATCCCACTATAGTAGGCTTTTCCTACATGTGTTGGGGTTACAGAATGGAGAATGGTGTAGTCCTCAAGACTGAAACAAGGTTGGGCCTGCTCAGACAGATAGATAAATGTGCCCATATGAGATTTGAAAAGAATGAGAAAACATACTGCAGGGAGGAATTAATTCACCCTCAGATTACAGAAAGAGGGCGTAGAACTCCCCAAGTTACAAAAGTCCAGCTAAGTGGGTTTCCAGAATATAGGGGAAAATAAATAAATCCATAGGGATACAGGATGGTTTATTTCTCCAAACTCATAACCAACTGACAGTTTGTTGACCCAAATAATGAAAACTTTTTTGAGTGTTTCCAGTGTGATATGCTCCACTCTTGCAGTGCTTTGCTTGTTAATTATTCCACCTAACTTCACAACACCCCAATGGGGTACTAATATTATCCCCAATTTACAGATAAGTTAACTGAGGCTGGGAGAGCTTAAGTAACTTGCCACTCTACTAATAAGTAATAGTGCCCCTAAGTTGCCAAACTCCCTATGATATAATGTTCCCAGGCTGGACTTCAGTTCTCTCTCTTCTTAATCAGGTTAATATATGCCCTACATACTTAAGAGTTCTACTTGTAAGGATATAATAATATGGATATAACTGTACTTTTAAAAGAGTGTGTGAAATCTGGCCTCTTTGTAGAATTGAATATCTAGCCACTCAAACTGCCTTTGTAGGTGTATATTATGAAAGATATGAGTCAGAAAGATTATTTCCAGGTTACTACATTTTATCTATTTTATCCTTTTATCTTATTTCAAAAGCAGCTATCTATTTCATGGTATATTATCAATGAGATCATTTATCCCGAGGATCTAACGAGGTTCTGCTGAATGTAATAAAATCTCTACCCTGTTATATCAGTGGGAGGGGGCAGCCTCTTCAGCTTACTGGAACTAACCTTTTAACCACTGAGGCCTGTGTTATTGGGAACCAGTTTCAGCTTTTAATTTTAATTACATGTCACTGTAATGTGTTCCTTCTCACATACATACATAGAACTTTGTAAATAACCACTTGCCGGATGCTGCTAAGGTAATACAACTGTTGGTTTCATTTGTCAATACCTCCATGTAGTCAGGTCCCAATTATCAGGTTAAAGGAAAAAGCATAGAAGTAGTCAGTTTCCTCATGGTCACCAAAACGGACAGTCCCTCCTCAAGACTGGTAGTAATTGACAAGCCAAAAATACGTCATCATTTGCCTTCTGTCTTGCTTTACTGCTTTTTCATTCATCGGCTTCCTTTTCCCCTGCCTTTCGTATACCCGAGGTCAGGACACTGTTAAACACAAGCAAGCAGCCCCTTTACAATCACTGCAGGTTACTTCATAGAACCGATGTACTCCTGTCATGTGGGCTTAAAATGCACATTCAAGAGACTTCCATTTTTTCATCAGCCTCTACTGGGGCTGGAACGTGCCTCCCAATATTTAAAAAAAAAAAACCTTAACAGATGGAACTTTATGGAACCACCTCTACATTGGACATTTTTTTAGCCTTGGGAGCCCTTTTGCCATTTTTTCCTGAACAGAATGTAGGCTTTCTGGAGCCAGATGGCCTGGATTAAAATCCTGTGGTTCCACCACTTTAAAAGACATTTCTTCACACCTCTCTGTCTTGGTTTCCTCATTTGCAAAATAGTGAAAATAGTAGGACCT